AGCCCTTCTATGACATCAGCACCAGTGTGTGTGTTTGGGGGGGTCAAAGGATGGGGGGGGGCTTCCATTTCTTCCTATCCAAATGAATGATCCCCATCAGGACATCTCTTTTAGTTGACTATTGGTCTCACAGAGGACTACAGATAATAACTTTCTTTAACTTGACTTTAAGGTCTAAGATCCTTATCCTTTTCACAGAATGTTACCAGAACCATATACAAGAACTGCTCATTTCTCTCATATTAGGTGGCAGAAAACTTGCAAAAGATTCTAAAGTTTGACTTTATAACTCTAAAAAGTCAGTCTAGAAAGAGCACATACACAGCAACTTTCCCTGGGAAAGACTCAGCCTGAAGAGCAGTTTGTAGATTAAGATTAATGATTAATTGACTGTACTTCTACTTTCTGACCACTGGCTGCCTAGGACTAAAAGAAAGTATACCACAATCAAAGAATTAAACGTATTAAAGCTTAAGGAAAAAAAGAAAAAAAAATGCTTCTTGAGAATAAAATACCAGAACATGTTTAGGACAGAGAAATCCAAGTTTAAAAAGTTTCCCACAAACTTATTAAAGTACACTATGTTGGGCTATGGGAAGTTAAGTTACAGCTATGTCCTATCCTCCACAACAGCAGCAAAACAAGAAAAGCCAATGAAAAGGTTATCATAGGAAAGATTTAGAAATAGATTATAGTACAAGCCTGCAAAGAAACCTGGATGCAGAGCCAGAGTATCACCCTCAGTAGGATCAGGAATAGCAAACCCAATTCATTTATAAGAAGGTTTAGCACTGGGCTAATATGTTGACATTGCCTGGATCTCTTTCAGGAATGGATGAGAACATTTTGGCAGGGGTGCAGTGGTCTCCAACACCCAGTCATTAATATATTAGAATCAAGTGAACTTTATTTGATAAATTCTTCAGAGCGAAGGTCACACAGATTTATGTAGTCTGTAAATGCTCTATAAATTAAGCATGCTCCCAAAGTTATAATGATGGTAGTGCAGTGAAAAGGTCCTGAAAACAATATGGGTCTTATCCATGTGGAGTAAGACGACCACCATTTTGAAATTTTGAAAACTTCATTGTGGTGCTGTTCAATATGCCTGAATGATCACCCATTGTCAATTCAATTTATCTTTGGGCTTGAAAATGAACTTTGCTAATTGAACTTTAGTTTAAAACTCTAACCAGGGGGGCTGAGGTTGTGGCTCAGTGGTAGAGCGCTCGCCTAGCATGTGTGAGGCCCTGGGTTCAATATTCAGCACCACATAATGATAAATAAAGGTAGTGTGTCCATCTACAACTAAAAAATATTTTTAAAAAACCCTAACCAGAACCTCAGATCTAAGGACAGCAAATAAACAACAACTCCATTTATTTCCATAAAAAAAATTATTTTAGGAAAAGATACCTTTGTGACTGGGATTCTTTAATAAATGAAATCAAGAGTTCTCATCAACAAGTGTTTGGAGGGAAAAGCCCCTCACTATAAACAAAGTGGTAGTGATTGGGGTTGGGGTAGGAGCTCAGCTCTCTGTCTAGAAGGACCTCCTAGCTGAGGTTAAGCAATTTCAAAACTAAGAAGTCCCACCTGTTCCATCAGCTGTGCTGTTGAGAACCCAGACAAACTCAGGACCCTATACAACAGCCTGGAGCCAAAGAATGCCTGTTTGCCCTAACCCACCCTGCTTTTTTGCTTTCTAGTCGGTTGTACATGCCCCTGCTTGTTAATGTCTAAAACAGCAAAACAATCCAAAAATATAAAGCCCTCATTAGATTGCCTTCTTAACCCAAGCCAGGCAGAAAGAGGATTAATCAATATTTTGTACTTTCAACATATTGGCCCCCCAAAATAAACAATAGCAATAAAATAGAAAAGAATCCTATTCACCTTTATTTTTATCATCATCCTTATTATTATTTGTGGTTGATCATAGTTTTTCTTAAGGGCTTTCCAAATGGAGAGCCCAATCTGAGAACTACATTTAATTGCTCTGTGCCTCACTGAAGCACAACTATAATTCAGGAGTCAATTCAAGAAAATGAAGATCAACATTTTCTTCCTAACTTCTGTCTTTCAGATTTTATCTCACACATAAGCTAAGTTAAAATAGTCTTCATTTCAGAGGCTGATGTGAATTTTTAAACTAATTATTTTGAAAGGAAATGTAACTTGTAGAGAGGATGATGTTAATTTTTCTTTTTCCTTTTTTAGTACACAGAATTTATACACAACTCTTTGCTTAAGATTTAAGGCTGTTTATTTTCATAACATTCATCACACATACTTCGCACTGGTATCAGTGAAAGATGCATATGTGAAACAGTGGAAGCTACAATATGATCCTATTCTGTGCCTTGGTGCCAAGTATAGTCAATAGGCTAAATTATTGTCACAAAAATTGATAGGGAAATTTTTTTTTTAATTTTCTGGCAATCATTTTTCAAGTCTCTGTTGTCACCTTGGTGAACTGAGATTCATTATGAAATTTACAGCTGATGTCTTCATCTATTCAAGTAAGCATCATCTTTTCATTTGCAAAGGCAGCTCTGGCTTGGGCTTGCGCCTCCCAGATAACGTCAGGACGCTGGGCTTACTTCCACCAGCGGATGCTTTACAACCGAGGCGCGCGCACCCCGAGTCCTCCCTACCCATCCCAAAGCTTATTGGTAAGAACATAACCCAAACACGAAAACTTTGTGGTCGCAAACTCTTCTGCTCTCGCAGCGGTCAAAAGCGACCCAGCACAGGGGACGACACTGGCTTTTGTTCCAGAGTCGCCCAGCTGGCGAGGTAAGCGCCTCGTCGGTCCTCATCACCTAGGGTCGTGATTCCCTGGGACGGGGATTTTGGAATTTCAAGCAAAACGCCCATTTCTACACAATCTGTGAGCAGGGGGTGTACACACACACACACACACACACACGAAAAGGGGGCGAGGGTGGGTAAAGCTGAAATCCTAAATGCCTTTCAAATTCTATCCCAGTCTCAGGTTCACAAAGTGGGTCTCCACCGCTGAGAGCGGGAGCGGGGCGGGGTCTGGAAGAGAAATGGGTACGCGTTGGGTACCCAGGCTGCAGGTCCCGCCCCGCCTCCGGGTACAATCAGAAAAGCTACAGTGTGTCAGTGGCTTTTGGCTTCCTGTTTGTAAAGCGAGAAGCTCCCTCCCCGACTCTGAGACCGTGGTTCGTCCAACCGAGTCGGCCCCTTCTTGGCGCAGGCGGCCGGGGGCGGCGGAGGGGGCAGGGCCGCGGGCGCAGCACCCCTCCCCACCGGCCGCCCTGGGCTGAGCAGGGCCGCGAGGCGGACAAAGCGCCTCCCGCACCCTCCCCCACGACCGCGTTCCAAAAGGGAGGGGGAAGGCGGGCCGGAGGGGCCGGGGGAGGAGGAAGGGAGGGGAGGAGCAGGGGGAGGAGGGAGGCGCTGCCGGCGGGACCCGGCAGCATCTTGCCCAGGAGGGAGGGGAGAGAGGAGGAGCCGGGCGGCCTCGGGAGCGGGGAGGAGGGCAGGATTCTTGAAGCCCAAGATAAACAAATTGTTCCTCTTCACGTGCGGGGCGGGGGGAGGTGGGGAGCGAACGCCGCAGCTTCCCCTCCCCCAAGCCGGCTCTTTGTCACTGAGCGCCGGGCCAAAGCCCGCGGCGCCACTGACACCACCCTCAGCGAGCCGAGGACTCCCAGACCCCGGACGTGCGCGGTTGGCACACCGCACACACACAGGGCCCCCCGCGCCGGTGTCTGCGCGGCCGATCGAGTCGCGGAGTGCACAGGGAGCGGGCGCGCTCCAGCTAGCATTCCCACCGCCTCGCCACCCCGCGCACCCTCGGCCCCGAGCCGGGCAGCGCGGTGGGGGAGGGGGTGCAGACACCTTTCCCAAGCTTCCGGCCTCCCCCCCACCACCACCAAAGGAAAGCCAAAGAACCCGGGAGAGGAGATAAGAGAAAGGATTCCACCCTCAGGGTTAGGGGGTGGGAACTGCCCCTTCCTCCCTTAGAAGTTAAGCCATTGGCTGCTCATCCTGCCTCGAACCCACCCACCCAGCCATTTAAGCCTCTTTCACCTCCCCGCTATCCTCCACTCCTTCAGGCTCCTTACGCCGGCCTGGAAAGTTGGCGAGGAGCGGGGCGGGGGTGAGGCGGAGAAGACTGGGTGCAAGCAAGTTTAGGAAGAGGAGCGGAGAGAACCCCAAGCCAAGTGGCGCCGCGGAGACTCTGGGCGCAAGCCCTGGGCGTAGTAGCTCTTGCCTCCCGCCCCTGCTGGGCCGAGTCCCTCCCGACCCTCCAGACTGCTCCACCTGCCGGGCTAGCCCCGGGTCTCCAGCCGCGAGCGCAGCGCACCCGCGTCCCGCATCCGCGCGCGCTCCCGCGAGCGCGCGCGTAGCCAGCCTCGCTCTTTTCTCACCCACTTCAAAGTTCATTCACAAAACTCTCAGACTTTCTCAGCCCAAAGGGGGTGAGCTTGAGACGGGAGGAGAGACTCTCCCTTACCCCTTCCCCCAAGGGGTTGAGGGCCCTGTGCCCGCCCAGAATCTGCGACAGCATCAATTTCTCCCTACACTCGGCGGATGTGCAGAGAGGGGTGGGCGAAAGGGGACGGGTCCTGGGAGGCTAGGCGGCGCGGCGAGAGATGGGGAGGGGAGCGGTAAAGAGGAGGAGCAAGGTTTCAACTCTGGGGTTCACTCTCTTTCAAATCTGTATCTAAGAAAGGGAGGAGGAAACTTTTCCAGCACCTCACCCGGCGCTCCTCGAGGCTCCCTCCGCCCCTCGCAGTCGTGACTGGCTTCTCCCCCCACCCCCTCCTCCCCAAATCTGACAACCCTGACAGATTAACAGGTAGCGGCGACGACAGCTTTTTCCCTAGGAAAAGTTGACGTTAACCCTTCGGCTTCATCCCACCTCACCCACGGTGCAAATCAGACAGACCCTCACACACCCAGTAAGAAGCTCACGCCCCCCCCCCACGCGCACCCCAAGCCCGCTGCCAGTGCGCCCTCACCATGATCAGCGTGTGGTTCCTCTGCTCCGCCGAGGCAGCCTCCGCATCTTGCTGGGGTTTGCTCGGGTGCTGCTGCTTGCCGGTGCCGGCGCCCGATTTCTTGGCCCTCTGCTCCAAGGTCCGCTGATAGAGGCTCACCGTGTCCCGGCGCTCCAGCTCCAGCTGCTCCACCTGAGCCTGCTGGTACCTGTTCTCGCAGTTGACGTGGTGCCGCCGGCAGCCCTCGATGCGCTGGCGGAGCCGCTCGACCACCGTGCTGTGCTTGGGGACGACCGCCGAGCTGCCGCCGGGGCCCCCGGAGCCGCCGCCGCCGCCGCCGCAGCCGCCGGCAGCGGGGTGATTGCTACTCGGAGCAGCGGGAGTACTATTGGGAGTATTATTCACACCGATCCCGGCCCCGCCGAGGCTGCTGTTCAGGCTACTGTTGATGCAAATACTACTGCCATTCGCGGCAGCAGCGGGGGCTGCGAAATCCCCCATCCTGCTCCCCGGGCACACTATTTTGGAAGAACTTTTTTTATCCACCCCCCTATCAGCCTCCTCCTTGGGTCCAAGGATTAAAATAGTTTAAGTGGAACGCGGGGGAGACGCAAGCACATGGATGGAAACAGCGATCCCGACCGGGCGAAAAAAAGGGGGAGAGATTTTGGGGTGGTTTTTTTGTTTCCTTTTTTTAAACTGTAAAGCTGGAGGGGGAAAAAAAGGGGGGTGTTATCGGAATACCATCAGACACCTATCAACAAAAAGAATCACAACAAACTGAGCCAGCAGCAAATCGGGTTGCAACTCAAGGGGAGATCCGCTCCTCGCCTGCCTTCTTTTTATAATCCATTATTTTCTAATAAATTCCAGGAGATTTCCGGTAGTTGGCAAGCATTTTCTCCCTACGTACCGAAAAACACACCCCATGTACACACACAAGCATATGCCTCCAGTGCGGACACGCGCGACACACACTCACTCCACACCGCATCGGAAAACGGCAAGCTTGCTTATTGCATTTTCCTTCCACAAAAAAGTTTTGGTGTTTATGCCGCCCCGTGTTCTCAAAGTACTTTGGCTGCTCAGTTGCATTTCACAGGAACCTAGATATCGAATCCTCGGGCTGGGGGAAGTAAACACATGGACAGTCCGAGGCGACTGCAAAAGTAGATCGGTGAAGTCCTTTGGAAAACGCCGCGCGGAGAGCAGCCCCTAACGCTCGGCTGGGCTGCCGCTGCCGCCGCTGCTCCTGCCACCATCACAATGATCAACTGCTCGCCGCCGCCGCCGCCTCCTCCTCCTCCTCTCGCTCCTCCACCTCCTCCTCCTCCTCCATGCCAGCGGAGTGATATCAGGACGCGCGAGCTCAGTAAACACGGCAGCGGCGGCGGCTGGAGGCCGTGAGACAAGCCCGGGGACACGGCGCAAAACCCGGCCCGGACTCACCCGGCAGGAGCGGGCGCGGCACGCACCGGCACCCGGCGCCGGGCTCCCGCCTCCTTTGCCTCGCCCTCCCCGCCCCTCCCACGCCCCAACCTCACTACTACCCAGACTAGGAAGCCTGAGCCGCCAGGAACCGGGAAAAGAAAGATTTCTGGGATCTCAGGAATGAATCAACTTTTGACCTGTGTGTGCGTGTGTGAGTGTATATGTGCATGTGTGTACGTGTGTGCGCGTGCGCCCGCGAGCGCGCGCGCGAGGACAACCACGGGGACGCGCCTGGCTGGATTTCCTTATTCCAAGCGAGGTAGCCTGGGAGCCCAAGTTGTTGTTATACATTTATGCATTATATTGCAGAACTGTGCATGACCAGGCAGAAACATTGCGGCCTCACAGCAGTCGTCTGTCATTCCCATCCATGTGGAAAGAGAAAGGCAAATGAGTGACTTGTTTTTCAAACACAGGTAATAAGTCCTCTCTAGTAACAAGCCTGCTTATGGACACTTGTTCGAACTCTGGACCAGTCTTAACACAAAAATACCGAATTCTGAATAAACAGGGGGGAAAAAAGCACCAAAAAACTTGCAATATTATTAATTCACTGTATATAATGATTGTTATTAAGACAATTATTGTTTTACTTACCCTTGGGAAAAAAATAAAATAAAGCAAGCAGGGACTTGGAGGTGAGACTAACAGTACATTTTAACAGACTGTTTTGAACACTAGGTGCTAATGACAGCAGTAATTAAGGGCCCTTCGTAAATCAAGTGGAAAGATTGCAGATTTCATGGACTAGAACTATAAGAAAAACACAGCATTTCACAGTTTGTCATGACCAAAACAAAAACAAGCAAAAATAACAGGCTTACTTTATGGCTGGATATATTTCTGTTTCAATGAATTCACAGCAAGTGCAATTAAAAGGAAACGGTGACTGCAGAAAGCAATCTAAACTTTTCATTTTATCACGGAAAATTGTATTTCCAAATATTGCATATCAAAAAACAATAAGAAGCATCAAATATCATGGAATCTGGACTTAAACCATGGCATATGCATAATTTTACAAAAATTGAAATGGAGAAACTGCTAACATTTCTGTGATCATTGGTAAGATAAATCTTAATTGTGAGATAGATGTTAATTATAAGGCATTTTGTATTACCTCAATAAATCTTATAGAATTAGTTTTTAGGGTAAAATACACCCCAGTTTTCTAAGATAGCCAGGAATAAAAGAACTTTGGATCTTATGCATTAGTCATGAGATCTGATTTAAACCATCTTCATTTCTTGGCATTGCAGATTAGCATAGGATGCTATTTCTAACCTCATAATGTCAGCGATAAGAAGCTGTATTTTTCTTCAATTAATCAGGTTATATGGTGAACCATATCTTTAACATCACTAGATTATAGGGTAAAATGGGCAACAAAATGTTATTTAGCATGGTGTGAGACTACCTCTAAGTAGTGAAACCAACAAGAGAGAGTATCTTTTATTAAAGTTGCCATACTTTTTCTAAGGGCTATTTAGTTAATGTACAAACTCCTGGATCAAAACTGCTGCCTTCCCCAATCTCAGCCAGAAAATTAAACTGAATTTGTTCTATAGAAAATGAATCCATTCACACTTTAAAAACATATTTTTTTTAAAAAAAAAAGTGATGTTATAAGAAAAAGCGATACCAAAGTAGCCTTTTTCTTTTTCACATATTTACTAAATAATATCTGTTAACTCAGGAAGCACATGACTTCCCTCAGAGGGGAAGCTATGACTCTGCATTAACTCTTTGCAAGAGTTTAATTCTTAACTCTCTTGCTACCCCACTAGTCAACACATGACTGCAACTTGATTCACAAAGGCAACAAGTTTGAGGGTCATGAGCCTTCACTTTTATGACATGGGTTCTCATTCCAGAGTTCTCTTTCCATTGAGATTTTCTCATTTTGTTAAAAAAAAAATGACTTTGGCAGCACCAAAGTATTCCCATCAAGTTGTTTATCTCACCCGTGTCACGCATTTATCTCACCTATGGAAATACACAGGAATTTGCATCCTTTCCTTTGGGGAACAATTAGGTGGGGGGATCATATTTTGAGGCTTTACCCCAAAGCCCTCCAATGACAAATGGAGCTATTCTTGAACAACAGCAGTGTTCTCTGTGGCTCGATTTTACTTTAAAAGAGTGGCCTATATTCTGGGCTGGGGATGTGGCTCAAGCGGTAACGCGCTCGCCTGGCATGCACAGGGTGCTGGGTTCGATTCTCAGCACCACATAGGTAATTAGAAGTAAGGAGCGGGCAGTGAATAAAACTTGAATCTTGAACAGTCTAAGCTAGTCAATCACCTTGAATTAGAGATGTTCACCTACTCCCATGACCTTAGGAGAAAGAGACACCTTTATTCTATGATACATTCCAGCAAGGCTGCTAACTTTCTTTTTGCGAGGGGAGGGGGTACCAGAAAATTGAACCCAGGCTCTCTTCATCACTGAGCCACATCCCTACTCCTTTTTATATTTTATTTAGACAGAGTCTCACTAAATTGCTTAGGGCCTTTCTAAATTGATGAAGCTGGCTTTAAACTTTCCATCCTCCTGCCTCAGCCTCTGCACTCACTGGGATTACAGGAATGCACCACTGTGCCCAGCATGCCAACTTTCTTGATCACCATTCTAAACAGCTCCCTGAAAGTCACAAAGAAATTCAAGTTCTAGGGAAGCAATTTTCATTCTTTCCCATCACTAGATACTGATAGCATGAACTTCTTTGTCTTTTATTTGAGTTTGCTACAAAACAAAACTTTAAGATGGGGGCTATAGACACATCACAAATGCAGTTTCTCTTGAATGCAAAAAAAAAAAAAAAAATCCTCTGGAATGCCATAGTGAAATGACAGAGAAATTCCCGTGGCTCTATCCTCAGACTTTGATGGTAACTCTGTGGATGCTACAGTAATAAGGGCTTGACAAATAAGTACCTGCACCAGGTTGTTCTACAGCTCTAGCCCTGAGCCAAAGTTGACAGTTCAGAGGATGGAACCAGGTTCTCTTTCCTTTGACCAACTCTGTCATCTTCCTTTGTCCACAGATAGCACCCAGTGTCCCAATGAGAAGCAGGAGGCCCTAGTACAGACACTCAGCTTATGTGCCATTTGTCTATCCCCACACATTCCTGAAGTGTTGGCCACAGTGGGGCCCTCCTCTCTCTACTAACAGCTATTGTTTCAATAATTCCACAAGTAGGTTTATGGCCTTCTGTGTGCCAGACAACCTTGTCCAGTATTTGTCCTCTGAGTATGTGGTGGGCACTGGGTTGTACAGCCTAATCAAGTAGAGTCCCAACATCAGTGGATCAGGGTGGTAGATGCCACAAGAGGACTAATCTCCAGTTGGTATGGGAACAGATAAGAGACTGCATGCTTTCGGGGGTCTAAGAAAGTTTTTGCAGACAAATCCACCAGTAGTTCCCTCCAGGATTGAGACTGTGAGAGGGTGTAATGGGAGATGAAGCGAAGGCTGGAGAGATAAGCAGGAGCCAGATTGTTCAAGGCCATCCAGAAGTTTAGACTACATCTTGGGGACCATGGCTGCCATTAAAAGGATTTAAGCTCATTTACAAGTTTGGCTTTGGCAACACAGCCAAAGTATTATAGTGTTTTCTAAAGTGTGTCCTAAAAACTCTGATCCTATCAGACGCTTCACCAGAAAGATTTCTAAGCCAAGTAAGTTTAGGAGGTGATCTGAACAACGTCTCTGGAAGATTCATTACCACGTTGAAGGTCACATGAAATCCTGCAGCAAAGCCTGTTTAACTTTGTTTAACCTAACATTGCCAAAATTCTGATATGTCCCACAGAATAGAACATACTCTAGAAAGCTCAGTGCAAGAGAGAGTGAGAATTGAAGGCAGTTCTAAATCCACTGAAATTTACAGCATGCCTGGTATGAGGCCTGAGGCAGAGATCACACTCCCCTTACCATCTACCCGGTCTGAATCTCTAGTACTCAGGGTCAGGGCTCAAGGTTGAATGCTGACCCTTAATTACTAAGGAAGCATCCACACAAGGCAGAAGTCCCAGAAGGGTGTTTGATCAACCTTGTCCAGTATTAGTCCTCTGAGTATGCTGTATTAATATTTCTCTATAACAAAACCCCCATTACTAAGGGAAAGTTCAGTCTCACTTAACTGAAAATCTTAATTATATGATACCTTTAAAGATGAAAAGTTTCATTATTTTTGAAACCTGCAGTCTGTCTAGCTTACCAAATACTGGCCTCTTGGAGCAATTTTAATGATTTCTTTCTATCTAGTAAATCAATTGTATGTAGGTGACATTCCCCATGGACTAGGGGTCTTTCAAAGTTTGTTTCCTTAAGTCATTAAATATTCCCAGCAAGATCCTATTTGAGTTATTAATTTTCACTTTTTTATTAAGAAGGGGTTTATTGAACCCTCCATGAATAGGAACTCGTGGAGTTTATTTTCTTATTCATGTATTTTAATATGTGTATAATGATTTTATGGTTAATGCAGGAAAGGTTATCTAAAGTCCATGGCAGGGAAAATTTTTAGAAGGCTTTAATTTTATTTCACATATTCTCCTCTCAGCACTCAGTCATCTGAGAGAACAAGGGATCTGGCTTGAGCACAGTTGGCTTCCATTTTGGATGTCAAAGATTTCTGAAAGAAAATATTTATGAATTTCTTTTATTTATTGAAGGACTATGATCAGCTAAACTGTTAACTTTAGAAGTAATTCATTTTAACTGCCCATAGTCATGAAGACCTGTCCTACCCTGCTTCTATTGTTTTCCCCATTTTACTAACAAATAAACTGAAGAAACTGAGGCACAGGAAGCAGAGGAATTTTCCCCAAACCACACAGTGTAAAGTGGCAGAGACCGAGTTTGAACTCA